GTCAGTCAATTTAATTATTTTGATCTGATAAACTAGACTACAAGTGATCATGGAGTTATATAGGAGCAACTGTTCAATTACAGCAATTCGACATGTCAAGGAGTAGATGCCCAGAGCTCAGAGGAGGGAGGGAGGGAGGGAGGGAGCCTGAGGGAGCCTGAGGGAGAGAGGGGGCGAGGAGGAAAGGAGATACGACATTAGTCGCTGATAGGAGGATGAAGGAACTTGGCGTCTTCGAGGTCGGACGAGGTGGCAGACTGGGAGGAAGCGAAGAAGAGGAGCAAGAGCGCGGACCTGTGGATGTGAGACCTGCTGGCTTGTGTGAATCCTGTTAGTCCATTGACGAAGTTTTGTTCTCCTGCCTCCTCCTCCTCCTCCTCCTCCTCCTCCTCCTCCTCCTCCTCCTCCTCCTCCCTCCTCCTCCTCCTCCTCCTCCTCCTCCTCCTCCTCTGTCTTTTTCTTTCAGAAGCCTTCCAAATTTCGCACACACGTTTGAAGGGGCCCCAAGGTCGAATGCAGTGGAGAAGATCGGGAGGAAGAGGAAGTTGGAGAGGGCAGAAGATGGGTAGCAAGATGAGGAGGGAGCGAGGGAGCGAGGGAGTGAGGGAGCGAGGGAGCGAGGGAGCGAGGGAGAGATAGGAGGGAAGCGAGCAAGCGGGTATTGGGGGGCGTGTGGGGAGAGCAGAGAAGAGGAGGGAGCACGAGCAGAAAAAGCAGGAGGAGGAGCACAGCGAAGGGTTGGAAGGAGGGGAGGGAGGGGAAAGCAAAGGAACCAGCAGCAGCAGCAGCAGCAGCAGCAGCAGCAGCAGCAGCAGCAGCAGCAGCAGCAGCAGCAGCAGCAGCAGCAGCAGCAGCAGCAGCAGCAGCAGCTGACTTTTGTGTTATGTTAGGATGAGAACAATCAGCGAAGAATCTCAAAAGAACAAGAAGAAATTCCTTGAGAAACGATCGTTCTCAGTCTCCGACATTGGAAAGAGACATATGCCACCTCCTCGAAGAGATAGCGTGATCAAGCCTGAGGTAAGAGGAAGAGGACGAGAAAGAGCAAGAGGAGGAAGAGGAAGGGAAGAGGACGAGGAAGAGGACGAGGACGAGGACGAGGACGAGGACGAGGACGAAGAGGACAAGGATGAGGACGAGGGGGACATGAGGTGGTAATGTGAGGTAGCAAAGATTATCAAGACGGGGTTGCAAAAATTATGGTGACACGACGTGAGGGAGAGGAGAGGAGGAGAGAGGTGGAGGAAGAGTTGAGGACGGGACTTGCCAGGGAGGGGAGGGTGGAGGGAGATGGAAGAAGGAGAGGAGGAGGATCAGGTGGGAACGTGGGGTCAGTGATGGAGAGAGCAGGAGAGCTCACCATCGTTCCTGCGGGATCAAGCGTGTCTGATCACGGTGAAAAGCATGCGGGGGCTGGCGGTGAAGTGACGAGAGGAACAGATCGGACAAAGAGAAGCGATCGAGCCAGGAAATGGAGTCGAATGGGACAACCAACATGTGAGAGACGCGTTGGGCTGCTGATCCTCCTCCTGCTGCTGCTGCTGCTCCTCCTCCTCCTCCTTCTCCTCCTCCCCCCCTCCCTCCCTCCCTCCCTCCTCCTTCTCCTCCTCCATCTCACTCCTCTCCTCCCTCCCCCCTCCTCCCTCCCTCCCTCTCCTCCCTCCCTCTCCTCCTTCTCCTCCTCCTCCTTCTCCTCCTCCTTCTCCTCCTCCTCCTCCTCCTCCTCTTTCTCCCTTTTTCCTGGCCCCTCCTCCTCTATGCTCACATGCTTTCTTTCCATCCTTATCCTCCTTTCCTCTCATCTTCTCCTCTTTCTTCACTCCTTTCCTCTCATCTCCTCTTTCTTCACTCCTTTTCTCTCATCTTCTCTTTCTTCACTCCTTTCTCCTCCCTCTCTTCTTGCCCCCCTGCTCCATCCCATTCATTGACATCCTTGCTACAGAGGTTGCAGAAGAAGGAGAGATACATGAAGAGGCTACAGCACATCAGAAAGAACAAGGTTGCGACGTTTCTGCTCTTCTCTCCTGCGACCTAAACCAGTGAACAGGAGAGAGTAGAGCAGTTCACCAAGGATTGCGAAGCAAGACACGACTCCATGTTGCCTCCTCCCTGTCTTGCTGCAAGCTACCAGCTGACCGTCACACAACAGGGGGAGGGCACATTTCGTGGACAGGATGGCAGCAGTAGACAAGTCACAGTCTGGGATCGGGATCGGGAACACAAGGGTGAAGGAGAGAGCGTGCTGTAAGGAAAGTTTTCTAAACTTGTTCTCCTGCATTCAGGTCCCCGGACTGTACGACGTCGAGTATGATAGAAAGAGGAGCACGAAGAACCTTGTTCAGATCCGTGAGGGACCGGCCATGGAAAGGTGAGAGGGGAGGAGAGAGGGAGGAGGATGCATCAAAAGGAGGAGGAGGAGGAAGTGTGAGGAGGAGGAGGAGGTACAGCAGCAGCAGCAGCAGCAGCAGCGCTGTCATCCTGACGTGTTTGTGCAGGAAGAGGTTGGAGAATCTGGAGCGGGAGAGCAAGATCCAGGAGTTGCAAAAGTCGCATGATAACCTGAACGCAATGAAGCTGGAGAAGAAGTGAAGACAGAAACAAGACATGAGGAGGTTGTTGTTGACTTGTTCTACCTCAGATCGCAGAAGCTGCAAGAGATGGAAAAAGAAAAGTCGAGAGCGATCAGCGAAGAAGGCGAGTGATGTTTATCTCAACATGTCAATGGCTGAGATGTCAGCAGAGGTACAAGAAAAGATAAGGCTGCAGAAATTGAAGGAGAGGTGAAGCTCTTGACTTGAGGAGGAGGAGGAGGAGGAGGAGGAGGAGGAGGAGGAGGAGGAGGAGGAGGAGGAGGAGGAGGAGAAGATTTTCCCGCAACGGCATGTTTGTTTCTACTAGATGCGTCCCTGCCTTCGCGAGAAGACTGGGTC